CTCAAGATGAAAGTGCTGAAGGGATGTATAAATAAAACTGTGTACTCAAATGGTATTGTAATACTAAAATATTTATTGTTATGTTAAATATTTACTTGCAGAAAAAGTTTATGTAAACTTTTGTATTTTATAGTACTGAAGAGGGACCTTTTTTAGAAAAGGACCGAAATGCATCTATAGTAATAGAATAAAGTGAAATCATTGGCTAAAGCTGTGTGATAGTCTACCGCCAATATTAAAATTTACATTTTAAGTGCGGATTTGCAAAGACTTTACGATATATATTAACTAACAAGATTTAACAAAGGTTAACAAAGTATACACAGATATATGGAGAGAATAACATTTATTAACTTAATCACGAGAGTAACAAAACCTATCTATTTCTCGCGAGAGAGAGAGTGTTTACAAGTATGATATAAATCGTACTACCCTACGATGTAAGTCGGTCAGTAGTCTTCGGAGGTGTACGGGAGATGGAGGATAAACTCGTCGGGACAATCTTTCTTTTTGTCCGTATGCGCACAAGTTAAAATATGTCGAAGAGATCTTATGGACGAAGAGATGCTTCTTGTATGGCAGGTCGTAATTTTCGAGGAATGCCGGTATCATATGGCACTTTCCCAAATTTTTATGGACTGCCTCGAATGGCGGAAAAACTACCCTTTTATCGGGCTCTCTGACTAATGGCATGAAATGATCCGCGGTTACAACGGATGCACGATGACGTGTAGAGGGGGTAAAAATACAGATGGTGGTCAGAATTACCGATAAAGTCCTGTGGGAAAGGAAGTTGATTTCCTTCTTTCATAGAAAGTGTCGAATGTGTCTTCCTTTTTGATAAACAATTCGAAAAAACTAAATATATTTCTCATGCTAATTAATTAATAAACTCCCGATTCTCACATTATTTTTTGAGTAGCTCATATGCTATGCGAAAAAAAAATTGAAACTAAGTTAGGTTGACCATAACATTTAAAATCCAACCGGGAACACATTTCAGAATCAGTGAGGGTGAGCCTGGTAAGGTCTAAAACTGATTGAACTTTGGTTGTTATTTAATCTATAACTTGGTGATATATTGGCGTGTTGCTCTATTCAAAGAATGATTCTACAATTAAATATTAAACACAGAGAAAACCCGAGACAGTCCCCGGAAATCAGGGCCATCTTGTCAACTAAGTGGCTTATCAGCCACTAAAAAGCAAACGATTTTTTCAGTGTCATTATATTGATTGATGGTTTTAGATACCGACATTCAATACGATGGCGATATGCCAATAGAGGAAATGTGCCTTACGAGTGGTCTTTTAAGGGAAACTACCCCTATAAACGTTATGTAATTTTACTATTATGTAAATTGTGGTCAGTCGACAACAGGGAGGATACAACGCTAATCCAGCAAATCTATAAGAAAAGGTCTGTTATGAGGTGTGCTTTTTGTCATTTGTAGAATTTTTTCATTATTTATGAACGTTTTTATTGTTCTTTAAAATGTTTATTTTAAAAATTGTTTAATTACTTTACTACTTTAAAAAAAAAATAAAAGCTATTAAACTCCAATAGATCACTAAACTCTTAGAAACTATAAACAACAAAACCCACTAAAGATTTAAGTCGAGCTATTATAAGTTTTTTTCTTCTTTCGTTCGTTGCTCGGTTGATATGGACTGTTCGGCACATATGGGCTCTAAACTCGGAGAGAGCGAGATTATGAACACTAGGCGTCTGATGAGCCGGCCTTATAGATGGAATGGCCACGCGCGCGGGGAAAGAATGCCTTCCGGGAGATCCTTAAAGGGAATGGCCCCTATTCAGGCGTTACAGACATGGAGAAAACTCGGAAATCTCCACGTCGCCAGCCCGCTGTATGAGTTCATTATACCTTAAGTAATGTAATAATGAACTCATTAGCATAAAATGATAAGATGCACGCTCTCTAATCAAAGATATTTATTTTTAGAAAAATTTATAAACTTAATGTAAAAATAACTATTTAAAAACTCCAATGAATTTGGTTTGCTTGAATATCAAGTAGTCTATATTCTGAAACTATAAAGCAAAGACCCAAAAGTCTGTTAACAGTTGTAATGACTATTGTTTTAATTAAATACAAACTTTTCAAAATTTATTCAAATGAGATCATTTTTCTTTAATATACGAATTACAAAACATTGATAAACTTTCAATTGGGATTTAAAATCATTTCTAACATAGTAAATTATAAAATTTAATTTCGAAAGTAACATGTCTACGTGCCGAAAATTGATAATTTGAATTCATAGTCCATTCCATCAAATGTATGTCTGAACTATGTCTCAATTATCAAAAATTATCTAAATAGATCGCAGATTACTTCGATAATTTTGATAGACCTAATAGTTAGTTTTGAAATAACATATACTGAGTTTGGAAACATTTTTAAAGGATAAGATGAAGGTAATAATATTTGCTGTGTTGCTACCTATATACGTATCATGTTTACATGAGAAAAACGCATCAGTTATTTGGGATGAAGGAGCAAGAAAATTTTTTATTAAAGATTTTATCATCAATAATTCAGTAGCTTGGGCAAATTTTAAGGATGGAATATTTACGACAGGGTAAGTGAAATTTCAACACGTTTTATTTACATTCACATAGACACGTGCATTCAATTACACGATATTCAACTGTATCGAAACGTCGAGTAAATTCCATAGTAAAGATGGAAAAGATCACAGTTGAATTTTGCAAATACAAGCGTTTGTTGAAGAAGCTGTAGTAGCCGATGCATTCGATAGTAATTGGATATAACAGGGGTTCCCAATCTTTTTTATATTATGAGTCCCTTTACTTTCTGTAATTTTTTTGCGACGCCCTTCTAAAAGAAGATACCTGCGTGTAGCTCTAGCAGACATTAAAATTACTTCATTATTCAAAGAAAACTCCAAAGAATATAAAATCTTAATAATTATTATTTATTAGAAAACATAATAGTACAATTAATGAGAAGGATGAGCTTGCTTTTCTGAGCATAACTTCTCAAATCGGGGCTGAAGTTTTGAAATCGCTACTCTCATTTCTTTTTCTAAATTTATTTGTGACCTGTATTTCGACTTGATTACTGCAACTGCAGAAAAGCCAGTTTCACACAAGTACGATGTAGTAAACGGTAAAAGAACCTTCAAAGCTGTAGTACTGATAGCAGGATATTCTTGGGATACATTGCTCCAAAATTGAAATAGTTTGTCTTTATCAAATCGAAGTTTTAGGCTCGTATCACAAGATAGTTCTAATAGCTGTTCTTCCTCGACTGTTGAAAGTGTAGATGGGGTTGGGATCGATTGGAATGGGTCTCTAATCCAGTCGTATTGATTTACATTATTTGGAAAATATGTATCAAAATGGGTGCTTAGTGCTGATAAGTGTTGGATAAATATCAATTGCAAACTTGGCTCCAGATTTTGAATAGATTTTTCTTGCAGAAAGCCATTTAAAACAGGAAAACAGTCAGTATTTCCATGCTCCTCTTCTATTTTTCTTTTCCACAACAGCAACTTTTTTTTAAACGCTGCAATTTTATCAGCCAGTTGCAGTATATGCGTTTCGTTTCCCTGCAGCGATTTATTAAGGACATTTAATTTCTCAAATATGTCGCAAAGATACGCCAGTTTTATTAAGAAGTCAGTATCTTTAAACTTTTCTGCGTCACGATGAGATTCTATCAATAAATACGTGTACAACTCATGTTTTAATTCGTATACACGTGAGAGTACGTTACCTCTCGACAACCAACGAGAGTTACAGTAATAAAGTAAAGATGTATGCTCGGCACCCAAATCTTCACAAAGCTTTCGGAAAAATCTTGCCTTCACGGGTCTTGTTTTTATAAAGTTTACCACTTTAATAATTATATCAATCACAAGATTTAATTCAGGTGAAATATTTTTTGTAGCCAGGGCCTCCCTATGTATGACGCAATGTGTCCATTTTGCATTTGGTGCCTTGGTTTTAATGAGAGCTTGAAGTCCTCCATATTGCCCTGACATCGCGCGAGCTCCATCTGTACACACACCAACACAGTTCTCCCATTGAATGTTATTTTCTTTCATGTATGAATCTATGATCGCAAACAAATCACTAGCCTTCCCGGTATCAGTCATTTCTTTGCAAAATAACAAATCCTCACATACATTTGCTCCTTCCATGTACCGCACGTAACATATTAATTGAGCGTCGTTATTACTGTCTGTCGCTTCATCCAGTTGAATGGCATATAAACCAGAAAGTTTTTCCACAATTTGCTCATTAATGTCTTCAGCTATGTCATGAATGCGACGACTAATCGTATTGTTAGAAAGAGGAATATTTTTTATTTCTTTAGCCGCCGATTCTCCAATCATTACTGATACCATATCAATCGCTGCAGGTAAAATAAGATCTTCAGCAATCGTGTGTGGTTTCTTGCATTTGGCAATACGGTGAGCGACCTTATAAGAGGCGAGCAGTGCTTTGGAGGAAATAGATGCTCTGGAAAACAAGGATGTCGACTGATGTTTCAGTTCTCGCAATTTTCTTGCAAAAAAATCTCGCGGTTTTCCTTGTAAATTACTGTGAACTGTTTCTAAATGACGTTTCAATTTATTAGGAAGCATACTTTCAGCTGCCAGCACCTTATGACAAACAACACATTGGGGTAGTTCCACATTTCCTTTGCTAACGTAAGTAAATCCAAAATCTAAATATTGGTCATCATATTTTCTGTATTTTTTTCGTTTTTCTACAGTTTCCTTTGTACTCTTTCCTGAGTCTTCAACACGTTTTCTATTTATTTGAATAAAGTTATCCATTTTACAATGCGCAATTTAAATAGAACACACTTGAAATCAAAACACTGATTCTTCAATGCTTGTAATCGACGAAAACAAAAGACTAAACGAAAGAGCGGGAAATTGGAGAAGCGGGGTGATGAGACGCATGCGCAGCGCACTCACTCATTACGTCGTGTGCAGACGACCGGTGGGTATCGTCTCGCGACTCCCCTATGATAGCGCCGCGACTCCCCAGGGCGTCGCGACGCACAGTTTGGGAAGCCCTGGGATATAACATACATACGTATGAAATGTAAATTATAAAATGTATATTTCAAAGCAAAGCCAAATTATTACTGAAAGACGTGGCCGTAAAATATGATAAAAGTTTAAAAATAATGTTTTTATATTTCAATATAGAAATTAGTATTTACATGATCAATATTTATTAAATTCGTACTTTTTCTTTCTTGTATGCATACTACAATTATTATAGCCTTGTTCCATTATTTAATTAAGTTTTTTTCTTTCTATGTGCGCGCAGTCAGGAAATTGATTGTATTACAGTATATAGTTTATAGTTTAGGCCTATGACGTAATAATTTTTATTTAATTAATGAATATAATTAAATAAAACGATACCTCGGTTTTAATTCTTTAATTTTTTAAATGTCTGCGTAGTACTTCTACAATTTGTTCAATAAATTTTGACTAGTAGTAAATAAAAATATTTACTGTAATTGGTTGGTTCCTGAGGGCTGTTGTTGCAGATATCTTCAATAAAAAGATTTAAATGAATTGTTATTTTTAAATTATTTATTCAAAATATAGGCCAAAGTCTTAAATTTTATACTATTAATATTTTTATATACTATATCTTAGTATTTTCAGTTTTAGTAATGGTTTATCGAAAATAAAAATATAATTATATTAAAATTTAATATATTAGTATAGATTTTCATTAGAGATTCAAATCGAATATTTACATAAAAGCTATTCAACATGTTTGTATACAATACAGTGAAAATTATCTAATAAGTAATTTGTCTATAAAATTAAAATTAATTTTTTTATTAATTATTAGATTACAGTTTACGGAATAAACGATAACTTTTATAACTTTTGCAGATGGTCGTATTTGGAAGTTCACACCAATCCACTGTATTCGGATTCTTTCCAAGCTTATGCCGCAGGTTTGGTCGAAGGATATTTAACAACTGATCTCATTTCTAAACACTGGAACAATTTGTATCTAAACTATTGCAAAAACGAAAAAGAATACTGCGATAAACTTAAGACTTTCTTACAAATAAACATGGATTTCATGAATAAAAATATTGAAAGAAACAGAACAAATTTCTATTGGAATCATGTAAGTAAATTTCAATATTAAAATACTGTATAATAATTACATTTACGTTCATTATTCTTCCTACTTGTTCATATATCAAAATGTATTTAATGTAAATAATTGTAAAATAATTTTGAAATTGAACACCGAGGAAAACACTTGATTAAATGTGAGAATTTAGAAAGCAAAATGACAATATAGTTTTTTGCTTTCTAAATTCTTTGACCGTAGTCGTAATGTTTCTATTAGGCCACATTCGGATTACATTAACATTTGTGTTAACACGCATTATTACGTTTTATGACGTGTTAAAGAGAAAACCGATTCTTACATTTTTATCACAGCATTTATGTAAATTTAATGTGTCATCTACTGACGTAGACTGATACATGGGTATAAGTCAGTGTGCTGCCACGTGTTACATGATAAAACATGTAATACTCATTTAACATGCAGATCGAACCGTTTAGATTTTCGTCAGCTGTCAGAAACATTTAATTAAGCATCGCTCTTGCTCTTTATCGGCCAGAAGTTGAGGGATTAGATGATGAAATTCATCAAATACTGACCCATCAGCATTTATTGAATGTAACTAATTTCTTCAATTATGTTGCACTAATTTTGCAACCGTCGGGAACAAAATGTCATCCTCTTCAAGTTCATTCAGTAGTTGAATAATATCCATTTCCTCAAACGAACAGTTTTTCAGAGAAACATAAATACGTTCAACCATAGACTCAAGAGCGACACCGGCTTTTGGAGTTTCATGACAACTATTCTGGCAACACAGCAATGTGAAGCAATGTTTTCAAATCTTCTGTGTCATGATGTAACATGATGACACGTCATAACACGTATTAACACAAACTGTCAGCATAATCAGAATGCGGATTTTTATAGTTTCTACGTAACATTCACCTTACGCCGATGCACATTAGAAAAAAATTAAGACGATAATCAAAGTTAAAGATGGTCCGAACTAATTTCCTTTATTAATTATCTATGTCGCCAAAGATTAGAGCAATCGTTTACTCTCATTATTGTTTTAATTTTACTTGTCTTGTGTCTGAGCTTTTATGCGTAGTCTCCGGAAAATATTTTATATCTAAGCAGATGAATTATTATGTTTAATCTTACAAAATATTCCATGTAATAGCATCAAAAGTTTTATTTCAGGTTGCATTAATACTGGAGCAAGTGAAAGGTTTACAGGACGGATATAAACGAACTCCATCTTTGCCTGATACAAGACCTAATGTTATGGGAGTTATGTAAGTTTTTCAGCAATTAAAAATTTCTTGTCAATTGAAATACATGGTAATAATAATTTAATGAATAAAATAATGTTATCTGTTTTCTTGTTTTATTTCTAAATTTTAAATTTTTAATTAAGTATGAATTTAAGTTTTATTGTTAGCACATAACATTATATTCAAAATATATTTATGTGGAATAATTTACAGAAGAAAATCATGAATGTTTTGATCTTTATTATTTTAACTTTATGTTTTCATTTAAGAATATTGTTTTGATTTTTGAAGAAACCAGAAAATAACATTCTTTGTTGTTTGATATAGTACATGTCTGTATGCAAATAAAATACATTAAGAAAATTGGTATATTACAGCGTTCAATATTACTGTATAGCAGCAATTTGTTCGCTTTTTATGATTTTATAATGTAATTGTCACAAAAGAAATATATAAGCTATATATATGTATATATATATATATGTTATAGTCAAAACCCGTTTTTAGTTAGAACGCGTTTTAACTACCGTGTTTCCCCGAAAATAAGACAGTGTCTTATATTAATTTTTGCTGTAAAAAATGCACTAGGTCTTATTTTCAGGGGGATGTCTTATATTTCCATGAAGACGAATTCACATTTATTGTTGAACAATACGCTAAACAGGTTCGAGAGAACACCTTGCGACACATTCAACTTAACCTTTTTATAGTGTCCACATCGAGCTCGATGACCAATTAGTGCTTACTGAACCGTAGCACTATGCAAATGTGATGTGGCGTGATTCCCAGCCGACCAATTAGCGATCACCAGCGATAACATTATGCAAATCTGTGATTCCCAAGCCATAGTCTTATGCAAATCATGCCGTGTGGCGTAATTGTCTGCTGACCAATCAGTGGCTGTACTTTCAACC